CTGTGTGTGTGTGTGTGTGTGTGTGTGTGTGTGTGTGTGTGTGTGTGTGTGTGTGTGTGTGTGTGTGTGTGTGTGTGTGTGTGTGTGTGTGTGTGTGTGTGTGTGCTTGTGTACTTGTGTGCTTGTGTGTACGTGCATGCGTGCATCAAATAAACTATTTGCAAAGTTGTCATTGTTTCATCAAAGAAGTTTATGTTGGCTGACTTTGTCCTATTGAACCTTGTCTCATATGAACAGCAACATAGGATCATTTATTTCTTTATCAGCCACTGTGTAATACATTTACCAGGTACATCGACCCCTCTGGCCTAATCCACTGCCTGGGTCTGGACGCAGGTCAGCAGCAAGATGCCCAGGAGTTCTGCAAGCTGTTTATGTCCCTGCTTGAGGAGAGCCTGGCCACCCAGGCCAACCCCGCTGTCCGTCACATTGTCCAGCAGCAGTTTAGTGGACAGTATGCCTATGTCACCAGGTAGGATTAAGACTTTCACCAGGTGTGCCTCGCCCAGCCCGTGGTACATACCCAGTTGGTGGTGTTGCCCTTTAGATCTTGTAGTTGGTAGATAGGATGTTGTTTTGTGTGCTAAGAATATTTAGACTTACGTGTACAGAGTCATTCTACTGTGTTAATAGTATATGGTCTAAAATTATTATTATTATTATTATTATTATTAGGTGTCAAGGCTGTGGCAGGTGCTCTGAGAGGATGTCAGAATTCAATGAGTTAGACCTGAACATCAAAGGCCACAGAGAACTACCAGAATGTATTGAGGAATTCTTGGAGGTATTGCCATCTGTCACAAAAAGGGCTGAAAAATAGTGAATATAAATATATATACATTTTGCTGCTATTTTTTTTTTTTTTCACTGCACTGGTATGTTTTTAATAATGTGAATTTCTAAAGCTCTGGTCTTTTGTACACTTTAATCTGATTTGATGGAAAACAACCGAAATAGCCTCACGCAAACAAGGCGGTTGACATTTAACATCATGCAAGACTAGAAAGCATATATTATTATTATTATTATTATTATTTAAAATTGATAGGAGGAGAAGCTAGAGGGAGACAACCAGTACATGTGCCAGCAGTGCGGCTCCAAACAGAATGCAACAAGGAAGATCAGCCTGAGGTCCCTGCCCCCAGTGCTGAACTTACAGCTGCTTAGGTTTGTCTTTGACAGGTAAGAATACCTGCAGCGCCTCAGGTGTGTCTTTGACAGGTAATACATGCAGCTCCTCATCTGTGTCTTTGACAGGTAAGAATTCAGTCCATTTGATATATTATCAGGCATGTCTTTGACAGGTGAGAATACAGATCATTTGATATATTTTTTTCAGGACAACAGGACACAAGAAGAAACTGAACACATACATCCAGTTCCCAGAGATACTGGACATGAGCAAATACATAGAGCTGCCAGGTATGGTATTACACTGGTGAGATGGTAGTGCTATTTATACCACCAGCGTAGGCGCTGGCGGTACACATGGTTTTAGTCCCGACCCGTATGTTCCGCCGGCTCCTGCGGCTCCGCCGCCAAGTCACCGTTACCGCTTCTCCTCCTAGACTACTAGGGCCTGCGTACCCATCTCTTGGATTTAGGTCACCTATAATCTCAACTCGTTCCACGTAAAATTTGGGCTTNAGTTCAGATTCTGCAGTTATAGAGGCCATTATTAGAATGCATTTAGACACTGTTAGTACTAAATCATATTATTTCTTTACAAAACCTCAATTTACTATACAGAGAACACTGCAGTATTCCGAAGGCCCTTTTCACTTCAAGAGGTACAGCTTCCTATACTACATCAGTCCACGCTGGTCCTAATGTGTTATTATGCTACAGCTGTTTTCTCCTTTTCACAAGCCCCAATGAAACTTAATCTGGTTAACTGGTCGTGTTGATCACAGGGAATCTGTTGAGGTGACTCTTCTGTAATAGCAAAGCTACTAAGTTGTCTATCTCTCAATCTGGGGTTGTATACAAAACTAAAGCTGGATGTGAAAAGGGCTTTTATTTACTATTTTATAGCGCAGTGTATAGTATGATCTGTGTGCAGTGTCAATACGCAATGCCTACAGTGATAAATATGTAAACATATTATATATATTCATACACTGATTTATACATATGTACTATTTCAGAGCACAGTGTCCAGTATGATCTGTGTGCAGTGTTAATACATAGAGGCCCCAGTGCCTACAGTGGCCACTACATAGCACACATCCAGGACAGAAGCAGGGGCACCTGGCACAAGTTCAATGATGAGGAGATTGAGAAGATGGGAGGAAAGAAACTGCAGCTGGGAAACGAAGATGAGATCCCAGGTAAAACTGGAAAAGGACTGAGAGTTTATAGACCTCTGCCAAAATAGTTCTCATTATTAGTAATGATTGATCAGTGGATCACCACTAATCATTTCTGGCCCATCTTGAAAATCCTATTAAACAGCATCAATAACTTTTTTAATTAAGTTGTTATTTGACAAGCCAACAAAGGGAAATACATAACTTCCATGGTGAAGGTTTTTATGCTGTTCGTGAGTATGTAAATGAATAAATAACTAACCATGCAAACTACAGAATAGAAAGATAAATGATTAGTAATCTCTTTAATTAAAAATCTGATTCATTGATTGACCCATTTAAATATAACCTAGATGCTGGTAGTAAGGGGCCAGCCAAACCCAAGGCAGCCAAAGGATACCATGCCTCTAGAAATGCTTACATGCTGGTGTATCGGAGGAGAAACATGGATGGTAG